TGTTTTTCAATGTAAAATAACATTTGACAAAAAACCACTTAAGAAAAAGAATTTCTCTTATTTCTTAATAGCTCTTTTTGATGCTCGATAAGATCCCCATATTTGGCCACAAATTTGAAATTGAGTCGGACGATCATTCTCTTTCGTAAGTTTAGATATTTTTACTGAACGATACAATTTAAAAGTTGAGATTGCAAGAATTGAAAATGGTAAAAGTATTCCGACCGTTTCCTTTAGTCCATTTGTGTCCTAATACCAAGGTAATCCGGCACGGTCGTATTTCACGAATTTCCGCGGTGCGGAGAGAAAAGACGATCGGCTGAAAGTTCGTAGCGTGCGGCACGTGCCTGAGAGCCAGGGGATAACTTTAGAAGTGGATCGTCGGATCTCTTTTAGCGTTGGGATTCGCGCGTGGGAAGAATTTATTTCGGTAGCGCGTCCCCCACGTATTTTGCCCGCGAAATGGGCTTAAACGGCCCGACTGACACGGCAGCGCGCGACGTGTGCCGATTGCTGAATGCCGATGTTATCATGTTGACGCGAGGTGGTCCAATCAACCTAACCATTGTAGGGCGACAGTCAATCGAACGATGAAATTCATGCGATTTTGTGTTCAGTTTATCACTGACAGATGTCAACGAATATATTCGTGGTTCTATATATTCAATCCCTTTCGTAGTAAAAAAATTTTTGAGCAAAATGAAATATTATCGATAAAACAATATCTCGGAGATTTTTCCTTAAATTGATAAGAAGGTAATATAAAATACACGCGATAATACGTTAACGTTTCAAAAAACGTCAATAAAACACTCGTAATCACTTATCTCGGTTTTTTTCTTGCTTTCTCACCATAATAATTTTTTTATATATATTGTTTACGTTTATTTTATTAGGCATCTGGAGTAACAGTCGCGGACGTTTGCAAGACAACGTATGAGGAGATAAAGAAAGACAAAAAGCACCGATATGTGATTTTCTACATCAAAGACGAGAGGCAGATAGATGTCGAAGTTATCGGACCTCGCGACGCGGCTTACGATGCTTTCCTTGAGGATTTACAGAAAGGCGGTAGCGGGGAATGCCGTTATGGCCTGTTTGACTTTGAATATACCCATCAATGTCAGGGTACTTCCGAGGTAATTATCTGACCATATTTATTTTCGTACAAACTAATGATATGTACATTAAAAGTATTGTTAAAGCTCGATAACAAATATTTTTTTAAAAGTATATCATTGTATATTATTCTTTTCTTAGGCATCCAAGAAACAGAAATTGTTCCTGATGTCGTGGTGTCCCGACACGGCCAAGGTTAAGAAGAAGATGTTGTACTCGAGTTCCTTTGATGCTTTGAAAAAGTCGCTGGTCGGTGTGCAAAAGTATATACAGGCGACAGACTTGTCGGAGGCATCCGAGGAGGCTGTCGAGGAGAAACTTCGAGCTACCGACAGGAATTAGGAGTATTCCAGCAAAACCCAAAACCACTATTACAAGATAAGAAAAAAGAAAATCAAGTGGAATACAGTACATCGCGAATTAACTTCCCAGAAACAAAAAAAAACAATGCTCTATACTGTCGTTGCATCGAGGGTTCACGTTTTTACACATTTTTCACTTTTAAACGAGACCGATTATCAAGTATTTTGCGCTACATATGTTAGTCATCATGGGAGCGAATATTATAGCAAAAGTAAACAGAAATGGAAAAAAATGGAAGGAAAAAAAAACAAAGGGCAAGCCCTTTTCATACTGCGGACGTTGTGTGAATCTGTCTAATATTAATATTATACTATATTATTATATAATTATAAGATAATTGTACAAGAATACAAAACAATTTACAACCAGTCAAGCAGTAAGATCCAGAATTATTACACTTTTTTTCTCACTGGCTGTACAACATTTAAATTAAATTCATTTCATTATGATTCCTTATGATGTCCTGTCAGTAAAACCTATTGTATTCTCAACATTTTCGCACGTTTATTTCGACACCGAGACTATTTGCGAAAGGTACGGCTAGGGAAATAAACTATAAGAAAAACAGAACGAAAAGTATTGACCGATAATATAGCATTTGTAGAACTTGTCGAGACAAATTCTATGTAAAGCAAAATTTCTGCAACTAGTCTCGACTGATGATATTGTTTCCAAGTGGTAAAAGGCAGGTTCCGAACTATGCAACAGAGTTTACCGACGAAATTAATTTGCAAATTATTAATACTTATTTTTATATCGTTTTAATTATACAAATTATTCGCAAAATTGCAGTAAAAATTTAAATATGAAATCACAAAACAGTAAAAATTTATACTCTAATTTTTTTTTATATTATAACTAATGATTGTTCCGAGTGAAGTAACCAACCGTGTACTGTCTTTGTTAATGAAAATGATTCATTGATGCGCAAACATGACTGATAACGATAATATTTAACAATAGCCGCATCATATATGCATAAATTACAACAATCTACTTTATATTCTCCGCATTTTATACAACATTAGTTAAATCTATCGCGTGTTATGATTAAAGTACATAGCGTACTTAATATTAACGATAAGACTTGCAATTGATTATAAATCGATTCGCTTGCATCCGTTGTCAGAAGATAATGCTGCGACATTGAAGAGAGCTGTATGACTACAAACAGATAACACAAGTTATTAATCTTTAACAATTACTAATTATTTTATTTTTTAAAACTTAATTCTTCCTCTATATTCTCGCACATATTTTACGAATCGTAATTTTGTTTAAGAATAACGTGAGATGATATACACATATCATGATATTCTTTTCTATAAAATTGTAACAATCCTCTTTAAAGAAAATTTATTTAATTTTAAATAAATTCAATATAGATATGATTATAGATATGTATAGATATGATTTTTGAAAATTTTGGGACATAAAATAATACAACTGAGTTAAATAAATAACATAATTTATTTTTATAATTGTCGATTGAAAAGATAATTCTTGAATTTTCGAGATGTTAAGTAATGAGGTAGGAAAATTCTAACAATTATTTTTGTATTCAAGTCAAAATAAATAAGGTCACGATATAAATAAAAATTTTTAATATAATTGATCATTTAATATGATCGAGGATACAAAAGGGATTAAGATTAATTTTTAGCAATTAGTTAAAGGAAAAAAAATAGAAATAGAACCGTCAGATTTACCTGCTATCCTGTTCTGCTCTTGATCATCATCCATCTCGGAATTTTCGCTGGAATCGACAGCTGCAACGTACAAAATAGGACACGATATACTATCACATACGATCCAGGTTTCCTCTCACGGACGTATCTTTCCTCGCAATCACTATGTCGCGCGCAAAATAGAGGGAACGAGAGATAGGAGGACATATGCGAACGACTTATCTTTATTACTTACGAGCTCCTTCGGTGTGAAAGCGCAGTATCTCCGAAGGGTGACTCCATCCGTAACGATTTTTGGACAAAACGACCGTCTCGTAATAGGTTGCTGCGTCCAACCCTGTCAGATTGAAGGAGCGAACGTGCACCGGACTGATGTCACTGCCGCCAGCAGGAATATACAATTTGTGCCATTCACCGCCACCATTTTTCTAAGATATATTAAAAAATAGATCCATAAAAATCTTCGATCACGCTAAAATCGATTTTTAAAGGATACAGAGGCGCTCCATAAGAATCTGTTCTATATAATTTTATTATTATATTGTTTTATTATATAGTATTATAAGATTATTGCACAAGAATGTGCAAAATTTACAAATTAAATGGTGAGAACGGAATAATTATATTTTTTCTCATTGGCGGTAAAGTATTTAAATTAAATTAATTTCATTCTGATATTTTGTCAGGAAAGCTCATTACATTACCAACATTTTTCACATTTTTTTGTAAATTATTTCGAGACCGAGACAACTTGAAAAGCACGATAAAATGAAGAAAATGAATTACCTCTCAAAAGAAGGAAAAAAATATTAGCTGATAAAACAGCTTTCAATCTTCGTAGAGCACGTTGAGACAACCCAACAAATATTTTACTTCAATATTCTGCATTTCGCTCTGCACTTCCGGCATCTCTTTTTCATCTTATTGCGGATTCAAGTAACAGTTAAAGCAAGAAGCGTATTTTATGACTGAAGATTTTAATAATAAGCCGTCGGGTATTGCCTTTTGTTCAATTATTCCTGCGAGCCCTTGCATGCGCGGCAGCCATCAAAATCGTAACGCGAACAACACACGAAAATCACGGACTGGATCCCACCTCATTTAAAAGAGGATGAAATATCGATTTTGAGATGTTGATTTAATTCAAATCGATTTTGCCAAGATTTCGTTTGGAATGGGTCTCTTTATTGATTAACAATTCAGTTATGAACGAATTCTCACCTTGTATCTGCGAAACCAAAATTGATATTGGATGATAGGACTGTAACTATCGACGACCCAGATAAAGTTATACGACGTGCTAGACGCGCTGCCAGATTCTTTTTTGAACACTGCCGGATTCGCGATCTGCGATAATTCGATGATCTTCTCGGTGATTCCCATGGAATTTGATGCTCTGCATGTATAGGAACCGGAATCATTTGACGTTACGTATCTTATCAATAGACTGTAATTATTCTCGGTGTTATATTTCACTATCCGCGATGTGTAGTTTATCATCTTGTTGTTGAAATACCATTCAACCTAAAAGAAAACAGACGAGTGCAAAATTCTCATAATTTGTTGAAACGTTAATTTTTACAATTTTTCGATGTACGATATTGGTAACGTTATTCCACTCGAATCTCCGAGTGCTGTGATAACGCAATTCTCCCTGACTCGTTCGGTCCTTTTTTTTCGAGGAAAGTAAAAAAAGTACAGTAAGTCACGTGTCCCACGAATCGATTTGTCACGTGCGACTAGCTTTAAAGGATCACGGTGAAAAATTGCTTGGTAGATAGGAGGGGTGGTTTCATTTAGTTACCAAGCGTGAAGAACTCGTTGAAATCTAAAAGACGAGAGAGTGCCGTATTGCCAGAAAAATATTTCGTGTTTGTATTGGACGTCGAAACCTGCCGATCGATCGTATCGTTTCAGATGCTTCGTTATTGTAAATGTAAGAGGGAACATTGTTATCGCATATTAAAGTTTCGGAATTCGGGACGGGAGCGTAAAAATTTATTTTTACAATATATTATACGTGAGAGCTATCAGACCCCTTTTCAAAGTATTTTACGTTATTTTATAGTTAATAAGGGTGCGGAGATTATTCGACCGAAGCAAGTAATCACGTGTATACAATTTCGCATTGGCCTCGAGAGAGGACAGAAAAAGAGAGAAAGAAGGGAGAGACGAGATCTTCATTCTTACAGAAGTAAATTCCATTCGCATTTATTTTTCGACTTTCTCGTTTCTTGTGGAAAATCTTCGATTTAAGAAAGTTGTAAAGGCATAAAACACATATTATGTTTTAAACAAATTACATACATGGGAAAATTGTGTTCATAACATTCTGTTTTTATTGAGCAACACATTTTTATAGATTATTTTTTTTATTTAGTTAATATTAGTTTTATTGTTATAAACAAAAATTTTTTAAATAATAACAAAAATCTAAATTTTTTTATGTAAATAATTATATGTAAATAATTTTAAGTACTAAAAATGACTTATACAAAGTTTCATTGAGATTCGCCAATTAGTTTATAACAAATAAATATTTTGTTTATTTATTGAACAAATAATATCTGCATCTCAATGTAACTTTACATAAATATTTTTGAATTTATTTAAATACTTTATTTTATAATACATCATTATTTTATAATACATTTTCATATTTCTATTAGAGTACAAGTTAAAAAAAATGTTACTTTTTATTGAAATAACTTTTCATCTAGATGGTGTTTCTAATTTTTCCAATAATTCTTAACATATTGCATTTGTCTTACAACTTCCTTAAGGATTGCTCTTCAATATGCGGTTAAAATTTCACTATAAATGTTTCAAAGCATTATATCAATCGAAAGAAAGAATTTTATTAATTAATCAATAAAAAAATGCAAAATATTTGTAGTAGCATGTTGATCCTTAGAAGCATATCGAAGAGAGATACACCTACAGCCACGACTGGTTTCCGGTGCGAAGTTCGCTTGCGATGTAATTAAAAGTCCGATTACGGGATTATGCCGAAGTGACTTGCACGCGCGCGCACGTTCTTTGCAAGTTACGTCGTTAATTATTGTTCGAACTATTGATTAACGCGCAATTGCGCGCCATTGACAATCTTAGAGAAAAGCAGTCTCACCTTCGCCTCGGGCCAAGCGGACACCGTACAATCCAGCGTTACTCGTATCCCCGGATATGCATGCACCCAAGGTTTCTTCACGTAGATTTCCGGCTTATCTGCGTAGATACTCAATGTACATACAGCATTAAAAGATTACTTTGCCTGGAAATAGTCATCTGGGGTGTTTTTACGCCAGCGGTGAAAAAATGTAAATTGTAGGATATTCTTTCGTATGGATATTGTTTAACATATCCTCTTTCTTTTTTAATAACTATGTTTTACGAATTTTTAAATATGTAATTCCATCCAAAATCCGCAATAAAAAAAGCATTAATATACTTAACATATTTAACGTGCTTATTCCGTTGATGGAATAAGCACATTAATATACAATATTTTACGTGCTTATTCCGTTTAATATTTATTTGATTTCTATTTACTTTTCTTAGAAAATCGTGATTAGTCCATACGTTCTCGAATAAATCGAAAAATAATAATATACAATATGTTGTTAATAATAGGGATTTCAATTTAATTGGAATGTAAAAATACTCCGTGAGCGTTTATATTAAAAAAAAAAAATAAGATTACTCTCAGATTAAAAATTCAATTGCGATAATATTCATTTGAGTAAATTAATTTAGGCTCATTT